CTCACAATAAACATTATGAGTTGTGAGGCGCTGGTGGTGGCGTTCATGAATTCGATTTTCAGGTTTAATATGACCATTCAAGAGATAAAACGCAACTGGGTAAGTGTATTCTATACGAAAAGCAGGTTTGACCTACATTTTAAAACAGTAAATAAATAAAATAATATTAATAAATAATAAAAAAGATACCAAATTTTAAAAGAAAAAATTGCATGAAAAAAGGCGTACGTCATAGAAAAGGGAGAGCTTATGAGTTTTAGAAGGACCCGCTGAAGTAGAACTATGAACTAGTTCTTCTCTACGGTTTTTGTTTGGGCGTCTCTCCATTTACCTAATCATAAAAAAATTAGTTCAATAAAAAAATACAATTACAGCAGCAAAATAGTAGCTACTACAGAAACAACAATTTTAGTAATTACTGAAGTAGAGAATTAGTAAATATAGAATATAGAGCCCTATGTTCAGACTTCAGAGAATTTGCAACTATATATTTATAGCTGTCTCAACAACATGATGAAAATAGAGTGTTGTATAAAACGCTATACTACATTTTGACCAAGTTCAACATAATGTCCAACTCCACTTTATATATTCAGTCAAAATCCAACTACTCTAATTACCCCCAAGTAGCTCGGGAGATAAAACAAAAAAGATTTAAAAGTATAGAACATAAAAGGCCATATACAAAAAAACTTGAGCTTTTCGCTCTTACTTGCTAAAATTCAACTACATGTGGGAGAGGAGAAAATGAGAAAGAATCACAAAGAGAGAAGTGTTCAAAGAGCATGATACACGCTTGGCTGCATAAGAGCAAGCCATGTTTAAAAATATAGTGAAGTAAATTTCAGAAAATCCAACCAAATGCACGAGCATATACCATGGCAACCCCACATGTAACAACATCCCCCAATCAAACCAACAATTTTATAGAATGATCAAAGACAAAATTTCTAAGATATCCCATTCATATTGTCGATATGGGCAATCATGATAGCCATCACACAAAAAAACATCATAAGACAATCATGGGTGCTGGTAAAGTAAACAACAATTTAACTTGTCGTAAACAATCAACGTTGTCTCGTTCTCAATCAATAATAGAGACACTAGGACGCATCTACAGCATGATGTATCGTTAAAATTGAACACTATCAACAAGTGAAAGACACACCAACTGGATTGAAAGCCAAATGCACAGCCAAATATGTTCAAGGAATAAATAGCTGAATGGGTGACCAATCTGATCAATTGACACAATTCCGCACAGAGAACAAGTTCGAATCAAACCCAGTTTCAAAAACAAATCACACAAGCATATTTTAAAAAAAACAACAAATATGAACGAATATTAACATCAATAGGAACAACATTCCCTCAAAAAAACAAATCAAGAAAAACATACCTGCACAAATATTAAGAGAGCAAGGCGGAGCAGCTAGGGGCGGAGAGACAGTAGGCGGGGGAAGAGGCGGCTGAGAATCTGATGGCCCAGAAGCATTGGCGGTCCAGCAACAGTAACTATAGAGTCGCACTAGTGTGCAGCGGCGTCCTACATTTGGGGCGGTGACGTATGGTCGGCGGTCATCCTCTTTAGCTCGAGCCAAGAATCAATTCTATTATGTCACAACGAATACTCTCAATTTCAATCAGCATTCATTTTCCGCAACGGCCTTAAAACAAAACGGCAAAAGAAACAGGCTAAGAAGGAGCAATCGCGGCGAAGAGGAGAACCCTAGGTGCGGCACGGCGGCGTAATAGCTGGATTGCCGCAAGGCTGCGCGCGGGAGAACGGCAACCTAGGTGCGGAGAGGAGCTACCAAGGCTGCAAAACCCTAGGTCCAGCGACATAAAGATAAAGACGAAGGAGGGCTCCTGCATATTCGAACTTCGAAGTACTACGTATTTTTTATGAGGTATTTTGGTTTGAAAAAATGTGTTCCATCCAAAATTTATTTTTGAAATCCTGCTAATGTGAAATGTGGTACTATCTAGTACTATCTACACTATCTCTAATTATTTTCTCATCATTTTTCGCAAAGAATAGTACTGAATTATATTTTCTAAACTATAGGAGCATTCGTGCTCATTTCTTATTTTTGATCAACAAGGAGTGGGAGACCCCGAGCTAGTAGCCTCGACAAATGGTGGTAGCGTGTCGCGTAGTAGTGACCCTCATCATATCATCAGTATTCAATGTTTCCAAATCTGCAGTAGGGACCTCAAACGTTCTCCAAGATATGTCTTGAAAAGCCCCAAGATTAGCAAGATGATCCGCAACCTTATTTTGTTCACGAAAGATGGCTCGAAAGCGGATTTTATGGAATTAGTCGCTCTAGCTTTTTATCGCTATTAGGGTATTGCTGATGGGTCCCCTCAGACTCGTCGATGTTGTAATCCAATTGACAACTTCCCTAGCGTCACACTGCACCTCAAGATCCCTCACTCCTCTACCCAAGCCCATTGGATGCCTTTCTCAATGGCTTTAGCCTCGATTTCCTCGATATTATTTGGCCTAGTTCTGTAGGAAAAACCACCAAGCCATTCTCCTCTATTGTTGCGAATGACTCCGCCGCACCCCGCCCTGTTAGCCATAACTTTCATGCTTCCATCAACATTAAGAGTGAATTCATGATCAACTGCCGGATTCCATTTTAGTAGAGGATCCCTTGTATTCATCAAAGAGGGGGTTGATACCTGATTTTTGTCAAATGCCCTTTCAATCTCAGCGGTTGATCCCTTAATCCAAGCCACTTTATATTGGGTGTCAAGATCATCCCCACCGAAGGCAACGTTGTTTCGCCACCTCCAAATCCACCAACATGTGACGGAAAAAGTGGCAGCCCAATTATTGTTGTAGTGTCTGCCTTTCTTTCTCCTTAAATTGTCGCCAACCCACCTCCTCATTTTCGTGTGATCTCCATTACAACCCATACCTCCATTGTCAACAAAATTCCAGTCTTGCTTTTGGACAAGTTTTAAAGATGTGAGAGGTGGTCTCATCGTTGCCGCAAAGTGGGCAAGAGCTATCTGAAGTGAGTCTTCTTTTCTTTCGCTTGGCATTTCCCATCACTTTCTCATGGCAGATAGTCCACAAAAGAAGCTTCATCTTACTTGGCACTTTAATCTTCCAAATCATAGACCACACTTCTTCCTGCACATTGTTAGCAAAACCCCTAATTAGATTATAAGCCGACTTAATTGAAAACTTACCTGTAGGATCATGCTTCCAGTAGAATTCATCAGGGGTGTTAGTGTCCAACTCCATAACCTGGCACTGCATAAAAGAAATAATGTTAGGTGGGAGGTTTGGAATTTTCTCCCAATTCCACCCATGAGAGCCATTCCAAAGTTCAGCAACAGTGGCATGCAGATCATGTCCGCTGCCAAAATCTTGCACCAAACCGCAAAGTGGTTTTTCACCGATCCAAGTGTCAAGCCAGAACCTCGTCATTTGCCCATTATGAACGCGGCAGTGAATGCGAGCTTCAATCATAGGCATAACTGTCATGATTCCTCTCCAGGCATTAGACGCTCCCTTCCTGTACCTAAAAATATTTTTCCCACCTTTCCCTTTAGCATATTTAGCAATCAAGATTTTGGACCCAAGAGACTCTCCTTCACTGAGTAGTCTCCAACCAAGTTTGGCAATGAAGGCTTGATTCATTTCCTTGGCAGTTTTGATCCCCAAGCCACCAAATTCTTTTGGCTTTGTGACTTGTTCCCAATTTACAAAGTGGCACCTCCGGTTATCACTTGTGCTGCCCCATATAAAACCCCTCACTTTTCTATCAATAGCTTCCAAAACCCCTGTCGGTAGCATCGAAGCATGCATGCTTGGTTTTCTTATTCTCCCCGTGCTGACCCTTTATCTCAATTGTACCAGGTGCACCATTCGATTTTCTGGTCAACGGGGAAATGGCTTATGGCAAAAGCTATGCTTCAAAAAGTATGGATGCTTACTTTGTTTTTTGTACTCTCCATTTCAGTGTGATCTCTTTTACTTGCTTCTCTTTTGTAATTTCATCTCTCGTGCATTAAATTTTCTTCTTGCTTTCAGTTGTCCCAGACCAATGTTTTCCCTTTTCTGATATGGTTTTTGGAATAAGGCTGTTGAGTTTCTTGCCGTTGTAAGAGTTGCTTTTCCTGGGGCACTATTTGGACATATGGTTTGGGGGTTTTCCCCTTTTCATCTCAGTTTACGCATTTCCCTACCATCTGTATTTGATTTAATGATTATGAACTAAGCCAAATTCGTGCAAACATGGTAAGCATTTGACACCTTCAGGCCACAATAACCAGAGCAGTAGGCGGGTTTGGGTCAAGTTGCACAAGGAATCAGTTGTTGACGGTTTAAGTTCATTGTCAAGGCTAATTGAACAATATGGTGGTTATTAAACTATTGGCTACTATATACAAATGCGGTAAATATGTTATAGCAGAGGTCAGGGTTGGCTCATTTAGATCTAGGTTTACCATAAACGCATGTACTTTGCGTGCCTACTTGAAAGCATATATCTAAACATATCTACAGATTTAGCTGACCCCCTTTTTCATGGCGCATCAACTAAATGTAACTCTCTAAGGTCTTTGAGTTCCTTCTTTAGGGAATTAGGCATACTTTTATGATCCAAATCTTGAGTATTTTATTTTGATGTTCTGATATGGAAAACCACCTTTCGATGCTCTAATATAGGCATAGAGTCTAAAATCATGTGAACGATGGGTACCAAAATCTCTACAAGATTTTGGGCTGATATATACAACCTTTCCCCATGTTAACAACGTATATATGTTGTTTCCCATTGGACCATAATGAAAATGGCATTAAAAGTTGTAGTGGTTGACTACCATTGCAGTATATAGAAGGCACATATCTCTTAATGAGCCATTTATTACATCGTACTCCTAAGCCTAGACGTTGCAATGCATTGGATCCGTCAAAATTTTGGGAAAATTTGTGGCATCTATAGACAAAAATGAAGGATAAGAAACTGGAGAAACTCAGTGTGATCACGTTTACAAATTGAAGTATCTTAGTTTGTATAAAGATCGAGGGAATGGGTGCATATGAATGAAATGGTGATTTATTTGGTTGTGCAGACTAAGCAGAGAAAGAGGTCCAAAACAATGACAAGAACAGGGAAAACTACATCAAGGGCGAAGAAGAGGAGGCAGGTATTTTACATGATAAGAAATTGTGCAACCTTTTAAAGTTTCCCTCCTAATTTACTTAAGTCTTTTATTGTCAAACAGTTGGTGCGAAAGTCTTCTGCCAGTGTTGCTGGTCTATGCATTGGTGATGTTATAATCAAATGTGGTGAAACCGAAATTGAGAGCCAGCTTGAGGTATGTCATCTTACATTATTTGTGAAACATTAGTCAAATGAATAAGTTAAACCAATGTTTCGGTCCCGTTAATTATGTGAAGTGGTCTCACTTCAAACAATCCCCTTCCCCATCTCTCTTTCAACAGCTGGTTGATGCATTGTGGGACAAAGAAGGGAAATCAGTGAAGTTGGAAATTGTAAGACCAAGCGTAGGGCACAAAAATGTTACCTTGACTGTCGGTACCCGGCCTGAGATGCCCAGGTAACCCCTATCTGTTCCAGGAAAATTCTTTCAAATTCTTTGTGGTTATTGTATTTGAAACATCCTTTTTCTTTGGTCTATCCATTCTTTTTTTTTATTTTTTCCAGGTGGCTTCTTTAAGTGCAGGAAAATGGGCCTATCTTTTTATGAAAAGAAGCTAATTTTTGTAGGATACAACTCAGAGACTCATTTAACAAGTGTGACAAGCCAAATAAACTATGCCTTCAGGATGGGAAATTTTGTTTTGGAGTGCCCAAGTACCTACCATCGCATGCCTAGTTCATCAACTTTCGGATGGATTAGTGGCAATTTTTGGGTTCATTGACGGAGGTGGGTTTTGGTCGGGACTAGATGGGAGGGTTTACCAGGGTTTTTTTTGAACAGGGCATCGTATGACCCGTAATTGGACCAATATCATATGGCACACAAAATGGGTGTCGCTTTAACCTTGGCGATCCAAATATAATTTACGCTAATGGCAATCCAAATGATATAGAATTTACAATAACCCCTCCCCCTTCCCCCCACCACTCACAATTTCTTTTTTAATGTATATTTCCATTTTTAGTAAGTGAAATGTAACTTGCAAGTGTCTCATTTCGTCTAATAGTATGCCTTGTGTGGTTCACATAACTTGTGGTCACACAAGACCAAGTACAATTGACTTATGGGAATTTGCAAATATTGTGGGGCATTTAAGAATATGGTCCCGGTGCAGATGCACGATGCAAAAAACTTAAAAATGATCTTGTTTGTTGCATTTCACATGACAGACATTCTCCTTCGCCAAACCTTTTCCAGAATGGCACAACTCAATATGATTAAATATAATTGCGTCTACAATGGATCTAACTATCACACAGGCCATCGCAAAAAGTTAGCGACAAGCTTCCCAACATTGTAATTGATTAATTGTAACACTGCGGCCCCACCCTGGCCGTAAATGTCTCCTCATAAGATTGTAGACTGGTCCTATAAACCAACACAAGTCTTTCCCAAACACTTTATCCTCACTCGTGCATGTCCATGAAACTTCTTAGGGGGTACCTATCCTATAATTGCTCCAAGTCAAGCACGTTTAACTTTGGAGTTTCTGAGATATGAGTTCTCAAAAAGAAGAAGCACGTTGTTCATATGAGTAGTACTATCAATCTTTTTTGAACTTATTCAATTCTTTTTCCAATTCATTTATTTTTAAATTAGGGTATTACATTCACCCTCACTTAGGAATTTAACATCCTCGTTGCATCCTTTCTTTCAAACCCCCAGATCTTCCCCGTTATGTAAACTATGCTTGTTGGACCGTCACGTTCGAAGGGTTGCTTTGATACCATTTGTAACACCTCGACCCTATCCTGATTGAAGTGTCTGCTCATAGAATTGTAGACTGACTCTACAAATCAACACACGTGCGCACTTTATCCTCGAAGTCAAGCACGCTTAACTTTGGAGTTTCTGAGCGATGAGCTCTTGAAAAGAACATGTACTTTGTTGGTATGATTTATATTGTCAATCCTTTTTGAGTTTTTTCTTTCTCCAATCCATTTATTTTCAAATTAGAGTATTATAGTAATTGCAAGGAGTTTTAATTCCCTTGCAAAGGCCGTAACACAAATTAGCAATGACATCAACCGCCGCAAATGCTCTTGTATTATACACTGGAAATTGGGGCATCGCAAACTTGCAAATTTCTTGTAGTTTATTTTGAATTTCTTGTAGTTTGAAACATTGTTTTAAGGGTTTCTAAAACGACCATTTTTAGACCTAGTGTTCCTTCTGGGTGGTCTAGTATTCCTAATAATTCTAGGTTGCCTATTAGGATTAGTTTTTATTTATCTAGGCTGAGCCTTAGTTGTTTAGTTATTGGCTCAACCTTTTCCTTGTCATTACTTTCATTAACAAAAATTATGCCATTTTTACAAGATTACAACTAATCAAGAACATTATTGAGATTTGTGTGCAAAGTATTAAACATCGTTAATGTGCCTTCGCATGTTTTGCATTTTTCTCTTTAAGTAATCGGCATTTTTTTCTGAAAAAATTAGTTTCTTTAGTTTTTCATTATTTTTTGTGAGTTTTTCAATTTCTTCCTCCAAGGAGGAAAATTGCTTCTTCAAATATTTGTTGGTTGTGGAAGCATTTAAAATTCAAAACTATTTTTAACTCACGCCGATTAAAAATTATATTTTATATCACGTATTTTTTTAAGTTTAAGTTTTAGATTTTAATTTTAAAACTACTCCGTAATATTTTTAATTTTATATTTTAAATTATAAATTTCAAATTTTAAATTTTAAATTTACAAAAATAAAAGAGTTTTGGAGGAACGAAAAAGGTGAAAAAGAAATTATTTTAAAAAACGGATGGAATATTACAAAAATAATTTTTTTTAGAAAATATTTTTCTTCTTACCATACAATGATAAATATGATTGGGAAATAATTTTCCTTGAAAATCATTTTCCTATAAAAGATATTTTTTTAAAAAAAAATATTTTGGTTGGAGGTAGGTAAATGTTTTATTAGGTAGGTAATTGAAGGTAGGTAAAGTAAGGTAATTAGTTAAAAAACTGTGTTTGGATGTTTATTCGGTAACATGAGATAATGAAAGAATAAAATTACTAAAATACTCTTGTTATCAAATTCAATTTTTGTTACCAAACAATATACTTGTAAAATATTAAATCTACCTTCACTACCCCAAACAAAAACAGGGTTAGTCTTACTCCCAAGTTCCAATGTCGTCCAACGCTACTTCACGAGGCGCGACTTACCCACCGTACTAGGTAACAAATGACACCATTTTTATCGTGTCTTGTTGTTCCGAATGGGGGAAACCCACGTTCATTCATCTACATTACACCATATTAAGGAGTGCTTTAATTTCTTCGTTTACTGGAATACTGTATTATTGTGCTTGATTTTTGTGTTAAATTAGGTTTGAATGATTTTAGTTACAATGTTTTTTTGCACGAGTTTAAATTCTATTTTAAGCAAGGATTGCATCCTTGAAGTTGCTATATTAAAGGTTATTTATTTTTCTAGGCTAATGGAACTTGGCCGGGCAGGATTCTCTAAAGAATTTGAGAAAGCAATCGTCACAATTCATCTCAACCGCAAAGACTTTGTTTATGTTGATGGTCATGGAGTGCTTATTAGCGATAATGGGTGGATTGCCACTGTTTATCATCTCTTCAAGTCTGAGGATCCAAAACCTAGTTTTCAAGTGGGATCAGAGGTGGGTATTAAATGGTTTGATGGTGAATCTTTTAAGGTTTACTATGCAGAAATTGTTTTGCTTGTGAAGCAAAATGATGTGGCTTTGTTGAAGGTTGTGAGAAGCGATGGTGAGGAAGACATGCCTTGGGATTTTAATTATGCTAATTTTGCGGATGAATTACCCAAGCTTGGTCAAGAGGTTCACATGACTGCGACAAACGATGGTGTGAACTTTGAATATACCTATGGAATGATTAGTTTTGAGGGAAGAAAGTGTGGTGATGTTCCATCTAGGTGTAGAGATCTGATTCATTTTATTGGTGAAGACTCGCCTGTGATACAAGTCCATAATCTGCATGGAATCCCGGGATGTTCAGGGGTACCGGTTCTCAACTCTGAGGGGGAAGTTGTTGGACTTTATTCTATTGGTTACTCGAGGATTGCTTTCATCACGCCTTCTACAATTCTAAAGGCCCTTTGTGCTCTTCACCTTAAGGTTTTTGTTGCAGACACAGTATATGAATTTTTTATACAGTAGGATTGAATACCATGGGTGTTCTTTGATGGAAAAACATCTTGCGTAGCATGGTTAACAATTGAATATATATCCCTTAGTTTCAATGCCCCAAGTGTTCTTTAATTTGTTGCTAAGCGTGATTGTGTTGGCATATATTGATGCTCTTTCAATCCTCTTCTGTTCCTTTTATCCATGCTTAGGAAAGTGGAGAATGTGGAATGGTTGAAGAGGAAGATAAGATTCTTAGCAAAAAAAGGAAGCGAAAATTGCATCCGTTTTTGTCAAAGTTCTCTTTCAAGCTTGCTCACAACTTGATGATCAGAGGAAGAGCAAAGGCCTCAACACCAGAAAACTGAAGATTCCTAATGTGTGTATCAAAAGACTTAAGTTAGAGATTGAGAACGGATTTGCCATTTCTCATATATTTTTATTGAATAACGTATTCTGGTTTTCAACGATATATGTTAATGTGAGAACGTAGTGGGCTGAGGAGTTTGAATTTGGAGAAAGCTTGCATTGACGGATTGCTTGACGTCATGTATTTGAGCAAATCAGTTAGCTTTTGCATTAGATATATAGCTCATTTTATATCATGACATCAACTTCTACTTGAAGTTGTAGTCATTTTTTATTTTTATTTTTATATTTTTGTGAATAATTAGTAGGAAAAGGATTTATTATGTGAACTGCATGTCCAAGGTATTATATTGCTTCTGAAATTTCATGAAAACTTGGCTCACACCACACGTTCTTATATGTTTCAGGAACATGTGAGTGACATGGGAGGTGCTGAATAACAAACAGATATGGGAATCTAGAGTCCACTTATTTCTCTATACTAATCAACAGTCAACCTAAGAGCTTCTTTTCTATGAAATGTGGGGTTAAACAAGGAGATCCTTTATCCCCCTTCTCTTTATTCTGGGTATGGAGGGGCTGAGCAATCCATTAGAATGGTGGTAAGTTCGGACTGGGCGAGAATTCTACGACCGACCATTGTTAAGAGCTTGGTTCTCCAGCCTTCCAATTTTGCATCTAGTCTATCAAGAATAGCACCAAACATGTCATTTGTGACTCTTCCATGGATAGAAGGGACTCCTAAGTATTTTCCAAGGTCATAGGACCTGGGGATATTAGCAAGTTCACTGATTCCCCTCGCCTCTTCAATCGAAACATGCTTTGAAAAAAAATTTGGGACTTGTGGAGACTGACTTTCTGTTTAGAAGCTCGGCTAAATTTATCAAGGCACTCTTTAATGATCTTGATTTGATCTTGTGTGGCCTCTGCAAAAAGTACTAAATCATCAGCAAAAAAAAGATGAGAAAGTGTAGGACCAAACCTGGACGAGCGGATTCCCTTCCATTTCCCTCTCTGACCAGTGTCTTTAATCAGGTGATTCAGTCTTTCCATGCATAAGACAAATAAGTAGGGCGAGATGGAGTCTCCTTGCCTGATTCCTCTCGAAGGTTGGATCCACTCAAGCTGCTTACCATCCCAAATCACACTTAATCTAGCAGTTTCCACACAAGCCATAATGTTCCTTGAACAATCCTTGCTCAACCCAATTTCATTTAAGGTGCTCATTTCTTATTTTTTAGTTAATACGAGTATTTTTTCTTTTTTTTTAATATTTTTTTTCCATTTCCTAGAACTTTTTCCAAACTTTCCTTTAAATTTTATAATGTTCAAAAGAATTCAAAATTCTGTGTTTCAAATAAAAAAAATATTGACGTACACCTCTTCTATCTGAAATTAAATATTTTCACTTTTTGTTTTTTAATAATTTTTTGGAAAGTAGAAAAAGAAAATCTAGAATAATTAAATAAAAATATTGGAAAAATCAATGAAAAAATTAAATTATGAAAAAAGAGTCTTATACAAAAAATAAGTTTTGGGCACGAAGAACAATTTTTGATCCAAAAACAATTATTCTATTCCTCATTTTTTAATATTTTTTTCATTTTAATTTTTGTATAGTTTTTATTTTTATACGGAGTATAATTTTTTATGTCCAAAAAAAGATATTAATTTTTATTTATGTATATTTTTTTGTATTTTATTCCTCATTTTTTGAAATTCTCAAAAAAAATCTTCTTTTGGAAAATAAAAAACAAAAATTGTTACTTTTAGACGTATAGATGCAGTAAATGTTAATTTTTTTCAAAAAAAATTAAATTTTATGAATATTATAAAAAATCATTTTAAAAATAAATTTAAAAAAAAATCTTGATTAATAAACAAAAAAATAAAGGAAAATGGAAAAAACAAAAAACAAGTGAGAAATAATGAGCGGCAAATGATCAGTGGGAGCATGGTGCAACGTTTTGTAACAATATAGACTTCAAAATAAGTTTTGAAAACAAGGTTGGTATTGGTGCTTATTTTGTAAACCACAGGGTATCTGGCCGACTGAAAAGATAATAGTAGCGCGCCGTACTCGTTGACATCCGAGGAAGCCATTATTGCTTCGGTCTTTGCTGATCTGTTCAGTCTCTCGGAGCGATTGGGGGAGATGAGTGTGAACTCTAGTGGGAACTAGAATTTGAACTCTTCCTAATTAGTATAATAATTGTGCATTTTAATTTTGATGTGATTGGGCCACGTGCCTCAAGTTTAGTTAAAAATATTTACAACTAATGAAATACGGAGTATCTAAAACTAAATTATAACCTAGTTAGAAAACACACACACGCTAGTATTCCTACTCGTGCCACGCACAAGTTTGGAAAAACTTTTTTTTATTCTACAATCTAGATCTTGATCTCTATTTAGCATATTATTTAAAGGTTAAATATAAATGATCTTGGTTTGATGTATTTCTACAAATCAATAATCTTTCTCCCCATATAAATTCAAAAATATATTAATACAAAAAGTATTATTGATCTAATTATTCTTTTTCCACACATTAATTTTAAAAATCTGAACTACCGACCTTAGAATTATGTACTCCGCCTCTCTCTAAATATTTGTTCACTTTTGACTCTTTTGAACCCAAGTTAAAAACAATAACATTAGATATTGATACATAATTTATTTTATTTGATTTATTATATCATTTATTTTCAAAATATTATTTTATCTACTCAATATGCAATATATTTTTATTTAAAAACAGTTAAAAACAGTTAATCAAATGTTAAAAACAATTTATTAGAAAAAACTTAAAACTGAACAAATACTCAAAGATAAAAGTAGTAATTAAAAACTAGGATTCTTTCATCCATAATCCCAACTCCCCCCCCCCCGCAATGATTATAAAAAAAGTATTATTTTTTCTTGCATTATTAAAAACAAAATCTTAAGTAGTGATCCTAGATCTATATGATAAAAATTTTAATTTTAAAATAGTAAGAGTCAATTATTCTTATCCCCTACATTGATGTTAAAAAACATTAAAATGTTAGTGCTCAAATGATTTTGTCGGGATAGCCCCTAATTGGGCATTTAAGGGCACCTGAATGTTTCGGGTCCTTCTATTACCCACTCATGTTCACGCTAGTAAATTTCGAATCAGGATAACATCATGTTCACGAGAGAAAAAATGGAATAATCACTAGAAACAAAGCTAGGCTCGTAGCTAAAGGCTACAATCAAGAAGAAGACATTGATTTTGAAGAAACGTATGCACCTGTAGCACGTTTAGAAGCTATTCGTTTACTTCTTGCTTTTGCTTCGTCTATGGATTTTAAACTTTATCAAATGGATGTTAAGAGTGCCTTCCTCAATGGTTTTATTCAAGAGGAAGTGTATGTTGACCAGCCCCCGGGGTTTGAGGACTTTGAGTTTCCCGATCACGTCTTCAAACTCAAGAAAGCGCTCTACGGTCTTAAACAAGCACCACGTGCTTGGTACGAACGTTTGAGTAAATTTCTTTTGGATAGTGGTTTCCAAAGGGGAAAGGT